CAAGCGCCTTAGGCACGCATACAAAGCAGACACTCACCAAACCGGTTGTTAAACCAGCAGCATCCCACCACTGCTAATAGTCTATGTGAAGCATAGGACTAGAGCAAGGACAAATGTAGGGAGAACAGTCTGAAACAACTGCAATATCTTTGCAAATGGCATTTTTTCTTCTGGTACGCTGTTCTATATCATATTAAAACTGAAAAATCAAGGATCTCCTAGTAAACCTTCATGGTTCAGGTCTGTGGAGATTCTCAGTCACCCAGGTCATGATTATCCTCCCAAAGGATAATCATTTTTCAAAAAGCAACTGCTGGACTTTGTTTTTCCTTTCAGCTGTTCCAAGAAGGTTCCACACCCATTTGCACTATTCAGGTGACCCTGAGGGCACAGATAAACCTCCAAGTGACCTCAGCGACTCTCAGAAAGGGTGCTAATGACCAGGTGACTGCAAGAAATATAAATCCTTCCATTCCCCCAGCACTCCGTCAGATCTGAAGAAGTTTCTTGGATGAGAAGCAAAACGTCTTCAAGGAAAATGGAGTCCAGTTGCCTTTTGGAAAAGAACTGTTGGGACTTCACGAATCAGGGCTTCTCATACTTTTGGGATTGCCTTTTTTCAGTGGTCTCTACCTCTTCGGTAAGAAGTGTCAGCAGTCAGCATGGCCCTGGTCCCATCATGTTATTCTTATCTGGGGCTACTCCTTGTCTCTAAAATGATATCAGATCCCTCAAAATTCACCCAGCCTTGACAGTGCTGACCATTAGGAAAACTCTAAAGTCCTAGTTCTTTCAACAGCCCTGGGATTTGCTTGGGATGTGTGTTGGCTGTGCAATAGTATTATTTCCATCACATGGTTATTCCTTAATTCTTCTTCCCCATTGTCATTATAACTTGTATTCTTTACATTACTGTATATTGGCCCGAATTGCTTGTGGTGATCAAAATTAATATAATTGGAATATGGTATATCAGTTGATATATAAATTGATTGAATGAATAAGCTTGCTTTAGGTTCAAACTGAAAATGCATATCAGTTTTTCCTTTACCTGATGACCTCAAGCAACAACGGACAGCTGTTTGCACCAACCAATAAGCAGAGAATGCAGGAGGGGGGAAGGCTGACATATGGTTTGAATGCTACATTGTTATCATATTTACTAGAGCTTTGCAGGTTATCAGATTTAATGCACTAAACTGATTCAATGGCATATTCTTACCGTAGTACCTCTCAAGAGCACCTTAAAACAACTTTTTCTGGACCAGGGGTGAAATCCAGCAGGTACTGACAGGTTCTGGAGAACCGGTAGTGGAAATTTTGAGTAGTTCAGAGAACCAGCAAATTCTGCCTCTGGCTGGCTCCAGAGTGGGTTGGGAATGGGGATTTTGCAATATCCTTCCCCCAGGAGTGGGGAGGGAATGGATATTTTGCAGCATCCTTCCCCTGGAGTGGGGTGGGAATGGAGATTTTCCAGTATCCTTCCGCTGCCATGCCCACCAAGTCATGCCCACAGAACCAGTAGTTAAAAAATTTGGATTTCACTACTGTTCTGGACTCACAAGTTTCTCTTTCCAGGTGATGGGTGATTGTGGGAAAAGACCCATTTTATTTAAGCTATGCTGGATACATTAATCCACACCTTTGTGTTTAGTTTTATCACATGTATTCCTTATATTTAAAGCGGGTTATTTTCTATAGAACATGAAGGTGACATACATATTCCATTTTATTTTACAAAAATCAGAGAGAGTCGTTATGAGCAGATTTATTTCACAGCTGGCTAGAATTTTAACTTTGGTCTCCTTGCTTCAAGTGAAAGATCTCTCTTTATGCTTTAGATTTTAATTGCAAGGAAATGTATAACAATTATTCTGGAAGATTGCATTGAATATGATGGCTTTACAGCTCTGCCAAATGAGCTCTGTACAATGTAAAATACATAATTCATCAGAATGGCGTGTGGATTTTAATTGACTCCACAGATTTTTACAAGTAAAACAGCATATTATGGACATAATTATAATAATGCTATAAATAGAGTAATTTAATAATTATGACAGCAGCATCTACGACAAGCTACAGTGATCCAAAAAAAATGCCAACATATGCATGGTGATGTCATGATGCAAATCCCATCCTTATTCCCAATGTCTGTTGCAAGTACATATGCTACCGTTCTTTGAAGATGAATATATGTAACTCAAAACTGCCTATCCAGTACAAACACATTTTCCTCCTGCATAAATTTGACACAAACAATTATGGTGACCAAAAAATACTACTTGTCCCATCTCTTGGTCTCAGCAGAGACAGGCCTCCCAGTTGTAAAATGGCTTCTTGCAATGTCCCATATTTTGTACCATAACTCAGCCTGGAATTCATCAGTTCTAAACATAAATATTCTTTTTAAAAATTTCATCTTCTGTATTATTTATTCATTCCAACATAAATAGGCTACCTATCTGTGTTGTATCTCAGGCATTCACCTTTCCTTCTTGCATGTGGAATATATTTTTTTCTTGCTATTTTCTTGAGCAGTTTTTCATTTTATAGAGTAAAGTATGGGAAAACCAGGGCTAAACTGTTGGTTTAATCTGGCATCCTTAAAATTGTATATCAGGAAAAAAAAACTCAGGTGTCTTCTCTGTAATTTCTTGTTACCACTCTAAATGAGGTATGGAATAATTTTCTTATTTTTGGCTCAATAGTATATATATTTCATAAGGCTATTTAAATCTATATATATAAAAGCCAAATAGCACTCACTCATCACAAAATCTCCAGAACAGTAAAGCCTAAAAACTTGAAATTTGGCACGTATGTTTCTCTTGGCTTCTAGGTGCTCGCTAAGAAAGGATTTTTCAAAATGACCATCAGATCATTAGTATTTCATATACAGTATTATATTCACATGCTCTGATGCTAAGGAGTTAGACGTTCTACTCCCCCTCCCCACCTGAAAGGAACTCTGTCCCAACTGCCAGTTGCCTTATATTAACACTCTCTGATTCTACCCCTTCGCTAAACCGAGCGTGGGTGTGGCCAGCGCGTGACTCATCTGGCCTGCGGGCTGGGACATTCTACTCCCCTCCCCCAACTGGCAGTTGCCTTATATAAACATGCTCTGATGCTACGGAGTTACACATTCTACATTAAGTTTCAGGCTTTAAGTGTCAATTTATCACGCCCGATCACATAGCTTCATAGTGAAGCACGGGTGTCCAGCATTCAAGATTATGTATTTGCTCTAGGAGTAAAGGTGGTAACCAAAGGTTTTGGTTACCACCTTTAAAGCGCTCCATGGCTTAGGACCTGGTTATCTATGGGATCGCCTGCTACCACCAATAGCCTCCCACCGGCCAGCACGCTCCCATAGAGAGGGGCTCCTCCGGGTGCCGTCGGCCTAACAAAGTCGACTGGCGGCCCCTAGGGGGAGAGCCTTCTCTGTGGGGGCACCTACAATCTGGAACGAGCTCCCCCCGGAGATACGGAGGATCCCGGATCTTCGCACCTTCCGTCGCGCGCTTAAAACGTTTTTATTTCATCAAGCTGGCGTGGCCTAAATATTCTCCTTTTTTAAATTTAAATTTTAAACACAAATTTTAATCTGTTTAATTATGGGGTATTTTAAAATTCAGCCTAAACTATTTAATTTGTTTTAATCTATTTTAAATTTTGTATCTCTGTGTTTTATCCTCTGGCTGTTCACCGCCCTGAGTCCTTCGGGAGAAGGGCGGTATAGAAATTTAAATAAATAAATAAATAAATAAATAAATAAATAAATGCATTGAAGTAAGCACACAAAATTTAAAATCAGAGATAAATTGGCATATTTAGCATATCTTTGTATTTAGCATGCTAGATTTTAAGGGAATTTTTTCTCCCTAATACAAATAGCAGGGTCTTAGGAGGGGACAATTACTGGGATAATAGCAAGCAAAAAGAGACAATTGAAATGTTTCTTTCCTGAAGAAAATCTGAAGAAAACTTCTAATCTGAAATTGGTATTTACACTAGAAAAAAAATCATCCCAATTTGGGATTCTAAACAAAATGCCAATAATAGGGAACTTTACTTTTATGCTGGTGCCAATGCCATCTTCGAAAGAGGGTTTTCCTAACAAACAAATGTCTAGTTTAATTTGCTCCTTCAGTCGATTTGGTGTAGAGCTTACAGCATCAAGCTAGAAATCAGGACATCATGAATTCTAGTCTCACTTTAGGCACTTAGCCAGTTAGGTGACCTTGAGTGAGGTCCTCTCCCTCTCAACCCCAGGAAGCAGGCCAGAGCAAACTACTTCTGCAATCTCGCCAAAAAAACTGCACAAACCTGTCCAGGCAGCTGCCAGGAGTCAATACTGACTCAAAAGTACTGACACACACAAATTGTTCTTTAATGGCTGCTTTGGTCCCAGCCATTATTATATTCATGAATATATTATTATGATGATTGATTGATTATGAGCCATCCAGTGGATGTCGACTCTTAGCGACCACATAGATTGATTTTCTCCAGAAATATATTATTATAGTCATAATCATTTTCATTACCTATTGATGTTATTGGCACTTTGACAAGCCTATATATGAAACGAAAAGCCATATTTTGCGGTCCACATACTTGGATAGTGAAAGAAATTAAGTTTCTTGGCATCCCAAGTACAGAGTTGCCCATTTGAATGGATGCTACATAGTAAAATTAAACTTTAGCAAGAGCGATCATCATCCAAACATTTCAGAGAGTCTAAACTGTCTTACAATAATCCCTTTCCTTTTTTTAAAAAAATAATAATAATTGTGTTAATAAGACTAGAATGGCTGGAAATCGCTCATTATAGAAATATTCTAGAGAGGAGTGAGATGTACAATGTAATAAATAATCTCCCTGACTTACTCTAGCCAAAATATTGTGTGACCATAAATCTTGGTTGACAGAGGTGAAGCTTTGGAAGAATTTTCCAGATATGCTTTTGTTTAAAATTCTTGTTTCTCTCACAGCTTCATTCTGACCAGGATAAAGGAGATGGTTCACTCAAGTACATCCTTTCTGGAGATGGAGCAGGTGACCTGTTCATCATCAATGAAAACACTGGAGATATCCAGGCCACGAGAAGACTTGATAGAGAAGAGAAGCCTGTTTACATTCTTCGTGCTCAGGCTATCGTCAAAAAGACTGGGAGGCCTGTGGAACCAGAATCAGAGTTTATCATTAAGATCCACGATATCAATGACAATGAGCCCCTGTTTACAAAGGACATTTACAATGCCAGCGTCCCAGAAATGTCTGATGTAGGTAGGTGTCAGATCACTCAACCATGTTGGGATTAGTTTTCATTAGCTAGTCAAATGGCAGTGCTAAAATTGGGATTACAAAGATCAAAGCAACGAGTACTTAACATGTCCAGCTGTGCGTTTTTCTGCTCTACAGTAAGAGGGGGAAAAAGATAAAGACAGAAGATCTGCATTAAGTCACTTGTGTTGGAAGAAAGATGACAGAGAAAAGTGGTTTGTAGATGCAGATAAGCATCTGGTATCATTGTAGGATCCATTTGATAAGATGGTGGTTTAGTAAGATTAGATTATGCAGCACATGGTCATAAAAGAAAGAAGGAGGACAATTCAAAATCGTCCTTACTACATAGAAAGTATATTCTGTATAACCAGGTCCTCTAATAGTTAGTTTTCAGATTAGGCTAAATTGTAATAAACATGTATTTACTGCCATTTATTTGGCAACTGTTTTCACATATGCCCTTCTACAAATATTACAGTAATTTCTAGGTGCTGATTTCTAGGTGCCGATGTCTACTCGGAACAGCTTTCTGAACAATAACAAAGATTTGGTAGTTGGAGCTGAGATTATATTGCAATACATGTTTTAATTTGTTTTAATTTTTGTTAACTGGAAAACTATTCATAAACCCATGCTATTTTTTTCCCTTTGGCTTTCTTAGTATTTCCACTTAAATCAAAATTCAGTAGCATCAATCATAGTATACACATTAGAGGTGGGTTTCAGCAGGTTCTGACCAGTTCTGGAGAACCAGTAGCGGAAATTTTGAGTAGTTCGGAGAACCAATAAATATCACCTCTGACTGGTCCCACCCCCATCTATTCTCTGCCTCCCGAGTCCCAGCTGATTGGAAGGAAATGGAGATTTTGAAGTAACTTTCTCCTGGAGTGGAGTGGGATGGAGATTTTACAGTAACCTTCCCCTGCCACGTCCACTAAGCCACGCCCACCAAGCCATGCTATGCCCACCAAGCCACACGCACAGAACCGGTAGTAAAAATTTTTGAAACCCACCACTGATACACATATATTGGAATGTTTTTGCCTTGAATGAAGATAAACTATGTCTATTTGACAAAAATAAGGAGAATTCAGCTGGGCACATTAGCATCTGATTAAGTTAATGAACTTAATAAATAACTGATTTTCATGTGTCATGCAGCTATTTTATTGTAGCATTCCCATGTACCAGCATTGGGATCTATCTATCTTCAATCAGCCCAGCAGGTAGGCAACACTTTGCTGACTTTGGCTGATCTTAGAAAACTAAGCAGGCGTGAATCTTGTTTAATAGTTGGATGAAAGACCACAAGGAAATTGCAGGGCTGTAAGCTACACTGAGAAATTTAAAAACTATACCCAGTAGGAGGCAGTGGCAAACCACTTCCATATTGCACCTGGATGTGTCCATAGACATTGGATCATATTCAATCATCCTGGTTGGTTTTCTCCCTTCCATTAAATTCTGTTTTGCCTATTATATCAATATTCTGATGGATTTAAGAGATTCTTTCACAATCGTATTTGGAGGAGTGTGTGTGTGTGTGTGTGTGTGTGTGTGTATATATATATATATATATACACACACACACACACACACATATATACATATCGTATTTTTCGGACTATAAGACACACTTTTTTTGTCTCCCAAAACGGGGTGAAAATGTCTGTATGTCTTATAGACCAAATATTGCCAAAGCCCTGCCCACCTGCCAGTATTTTTGGCCTACGCATGCTCTGTTTTCGGGCCCTTTTTCGCCCTTTTTTGGCCCATTTTTGAGGCTTTTTTTGGCATGTTTTCAAGGCTTTTTGGCCCATTTTGGGGGCTTTTTTGGCCTGTTTCAGGGATTTTTTGGCCCATTTTCGAGGCTTTTTTCAGCCTGTTTTTTCAGCTTATAAAACGCACCTGACTATAAGACGCACCTAAATTTAGAAGAGGAAAACAACAAAAAAAAGTTTTTGGCTTTCCTTTTTTGGGGCCTTTTTTTATGGCCCTTTTCCAGTCTTTTTTCAGCCTGTTTCCGGGGCTTTTTTTGGCCCATTTTCGAGGCTTTTTTTGGCCCATTTTTGAGGCTTTTTTCCCTTTTTCCCCTCTAATCTTCTCAATGTTCAATCCAATCAGTATTTTCTTTTTAGAAATGATTGTTTTATCTTAGAAAATAATATATAAAACAGGAAAACAAACAAACAAAATGAAGCAAAACAAAAACATACATTCAACCCTAACAACTATAACAACAACAATAAAAATAGTGTACAAAAAAAGGCGGGGGAGAAAGTGGTCAATTAAATTTAACATTTAACATGTAGGATCCACCCTGGCTGGGTTCTGAAAGAAATGAAAAAACAATTAATTCTCCTCCCCTTTTACATATATACGGTATATATAATCAAAGCAGTTAATTTCGCCATCTCTGGTAATTCAGTCAATTTCAAAATCCATTTTTCAACAGTTGGCATCTCTTTTTCTTTCCAATGTTTGGCAAGTACACTCCGTGCAGCCGTCACCATGTGAAGGAATAGCACCCCATTGTTTTTCAAATGACTTCTTCATCATACCTAAAAAAAAGCTTCAGATTTCATTAATATTTGTCTCTTAAATATTTTTGTATTGTCATTCTTATGTTTATCCAGTATGTTTGAATTTGATACCAGCTGCATTAATTTGAACTGCTTCAAGAAGGGTTTTTTCCCCCCCAGACTCATAAAGGTGTCTGAAAAAACGTAGGTTGTTTTAATGAAATAGAGATAGGTGTTATGCTTCCAAGACACTATCCAGGGTCTTGGATAGTGTGACAGATGGAATATAAATGGAATATAAATAGAATAAGTAAATACATTTTTCATTCATTTTTAAGCATCCATCACAGGATGCACAGTAGTGGGTTCCACTTACCTTCGCTACCGGTTTGGAACCGGGAGTGTATGTGCACTTGTTTTGCTCGCATGTGGCGCGTCTGCACACATGCAGAGCATCCGTGATGACGTCCGGACGGGTGGGCGGAGCCTCCCGCCGCCGCCACAACTGGTTTGCCTAAACTGGGGTGAACCAGTAGAAACCCACCATTGATAGTTTTCCAGACAGGAAGAAGAAATCCAGTCACCAGGCCAGAAAGAGTGCCCACTTCTATAGGATACTGCATTTAGAAAGAATGTGCATGTGTATACTATATAAACAAATAATTGTTGGAGTATTTATAAAATCAGTTTCAAATCAAGCCAGGCTTGTGCTGATTTATATAGATATCGCCATGCAGTTTTCTTAGTATCACGGCAAAAAAGTGTTTGCCACCTTTTCTAGCATTGTGTTTTGATCTTCAAATTTTGCCTACAGATCTGGATTTCCTTGGGGACCCTCAACCAATCTTCTGACTCTGTTTTTGCTTTTTAGATTAGCCAAAATGCTATCAGTTACTTGGGATCTGGTTCTCTGGGCTTGTCTGTATTGTATGTTCTTCAGCACACTCTCTTTTTGCTATTACCCCAGAAGCTATTTTCTCATATCAGAAAAAAATACATTTTTGTCTGTCTGAATTTGGCCATTTGCTTGCCTGTTCTTTAAATTGTTTGATCTTTCAAGAATAGCCATATGGGGAGGAGACGGAGCGAGAGAAAAAGCCATGATAAGCAGAAATTTCTTTTCTCCTCGTGTGGCTTGTCAGAATTGCCCTTCTTTCATTGTTTCCAACAGGTGAATAAGGATTTCCTTTTATTTCAAACAGCAGGCACAAGCATGAACTGATTCCATTAAAGAACATAGAAAGCCCCTTCATACCGGTTAAATCTCCTTTTCAGCTTGATAACTGCTATTTGTAAAATAAATGTCAATGAACTGAAAAACGAATGACACAATGCCATTGTGATTCCTTTGAGCCAATTGCAAAACATTGGAACAACTCCATCTTTCAAAGCAGGGTGGGCATGCTTATATTTACAGCTAATTTTCATAAAATTAGTCAAGCCAGTGCTCCAAGGGCAGATTTTCAAAATTTGCAGTATCAGACTTGTCCTCATAAATTCTATTCTCAAACCCAAATTCAGTTGAAATGGCATCCTTTGATCCACCAGTTTATAACTCTGTATTTCATTGTCACAGGTACATTTGTCATGCAAGTCACTGCAACGGATGCCGATGACCCTACATATGGGAACAGCGCTCGAGTTGTCTACAGTATTCTCCAGGGACAGCCATATTTTTCTGTTGAGTCTGAGTCAGGTCAGAGGACTTTAATCTGTCATACTCTGATAACTTCCGTAATTTAAAATGACTTGTTAAGTCAAGCTAGGATGTCATTAGGCAAACTCTTCAAAGAAATCCATTTGACTCAATGCAGGCTTTGCAAGTTCCAACAGAGCAATACGTCTATAAGCATGATACATTTTTTAATCAGAATATCTTAACCTAATAAGCAGAACTTAGCCTGGATGCAAATCCATTTAGCAAACATTGGGTATGTAGATGGTTCCATTAAAGCTGTGCTTAGCACAGTCATTTGACTTTGAATGTGGAAGAAAAAAGAAAAGAAAAGGAATTATATGCAGGAAAAAGATCTTGCTAATCGAAAGTCTTTTTACAAATGGAACTAGACTTACCAAATTTCTCCTCGTATTTAGTTTGCGGCCTACTTCAGCTTTGATGACAAACTTTTCCTCATACATTCAAAGTGCCTTTGTGGCACTCCCTCCTCCAATTTTTCTCTAACACAAACTTGTGAGCTAGGTTGTGACAATGACTGATTGAATGTCACCTAGTGCTTTCCCAACATTTAACAAAGATTTCAGACTGAGTCTGCCTGATTCTATATCAATATTGCAACACACTAGCTCATATGGAAGAAAAGAGAGAGAGGGGGAGAGGGAGAGGGAGAGGGAGAGAGAGAGAGAGAGAGAGAGAGAGAGAGACCTGCTAAAATTCATAATAGAATATGGGTTTTGTTTTGTTTTTTCATTTTGAAGTACATGAGTTACCCTATTAAGGAGTAGGGGCATCAAAGCAGTAAGTATAGAAATTACTGAATTCCTTTACGGACATATTTGTTACACTGTAGATACTGTCATCATAACTGTTGGTCCAGCAATTCACAACTGGCTCATACTGAGAGGTATAAAGCAGAAGCATTGCATTATCTTTGTCGCCATCTCAATCTCTATCTAATTTCTATCTAATTTCTATCTCTGTATCTCTATCTAACTATTTATCTCATCTTAGAGGCACTGCATTCTGACTTATAAAGTATTACTTAAAACAGGGATGTCAAACTCAAGGCCCGGGGGCCAGATCTGGCTCATGGGATGCTTAGTTCTAGCCTGCAGGGCCACTCTACAAACAGCGAAAGACTCGCCCGCGGTGCCTCTGCCAGCAAAAATGGAGTTTGGGAGGGCCAAACGGTTCCTGCTGCCCTCTGCCAAAGAAAACAGAGCTCAACCCACCCACTCACCCTCATATGTGGGGTGCCACAAGGGTCGGTCCTCTTGCCCCTTTTGTTCAACATCCAAGACCAAGTGGCTGTGGTTTCCAACATCCCGATATAGTCAGTTGGCGCCATCACTGACTATTGGGGGCGAATCGTTGGCCCCCACGGAGAGAGCTTGCAACTTGGGCGTCCTCCTGGATTCATGGCTGTCTTTAGAAGAGCATTTGATGGCCGTGACCGGGAGGATTTTTCATCAGGTTTGCCTGATTCGCCAGTTACGTTCCTTTCTGGATCGGGACTCCTTACTCATGGTCACTCATGCCCTCGTCACTTCCCGCCTGGACTATTGCAACGCTCTCTACATGGGGCTCCCCTTGAGGAGCACCCGGAGGCTCCAACTGGCACAGAGTGCGGCCGCGTGGGTGGTTATGGGAGCGACATGGTGTTCCCATGTAACACCTCTCCTGCGCGAGCTGCACTGGCTCCCGGTGGTCTTCCAGGTGCACTTCAAGGTTTTGGTTACCACCTTTAGAGTGCTCCATGGCTTAGGACCTGGTTACCTACGGGACCGCCTGCTGCCACCAATAGCCTCCCACCAGCCAGTATGCTCTCATAGAGAGGGACTCCTCCAGGTGCCGTTGGCCAAACAATGTCGACTGGTGGCCCCCAGGGGGAGAACCTTCTCTGTGGGGGCACCTACTATCTGGAATGAGCTCCCCCTGGAGATACAGAGGATCCCGGATCTGCGCACCTTCCGCCACTCTTAAGACCTTTTTATTCCATCAGGCTGGCCTGGCCTAATCTTTTCCCTTTTTCCCTTTTTAAAATGTAAATTTTAATCTGTTTTAAATTATTGGGGTGTTTTAAATCTGTCTTGGGCCAAAATTGTTTAATTCGGTTTTACTTTGCTTTTAAATTTTGTATTTATGTGTTTTATCTGTGGCTGTTCACCGCCCTGAGTCCTTCGGGAATAGGGCGGTATATAAATCAAATCAAATCTAAATCTAAATCACAGCTGAAAATGCAGCTCTGGAGACCGTTCTCGCTGGCAGAGCGCTTGGGCCACCACAGATGCCCCCGACACGAGTGATGTCAAACTGGCCATTCCCATCCTGGCCACACCCACCCCTGCCCCAAGGTCACAACCCTGATCACAACCCTGATGCAGCCCTCAATGAAATCAAGTTTGACACCCCTGACTTAGAATAACATATTTAAAAAATCTCTCTTTTTTTCATTCCTAGGTATCATCAAAACAGCTTTGCTAAACATGGATCGAGAAAACCGGGAGCAGTACCAAGTAGTCATCCAAGCCAAGGATATGGGAGGTCAGATGGGAGGATTATCAGGAACCACCACGGTGAACATCACATTGACTGATGTCAATGACAATCCACCCCGCTTCCCCCAGAGTATGGGAAAGATATATTTTTTCTTTATTTAGTTACATCCATAGAACATTTTGGCAATCAAATAATAGGAACTTTATGTACAAGTATATACATGGAAAAGTCAATGGACCTAGCTGAGGGGAAAGGAATGGCTTTTTACAATTTACTGTCAACATTAGGCTACAGATCTCTGCAAGCACCAAAAAAACAGCCAAAGCTCTATTTCATAATGTATTTATCTTCTTTGAATTCACAGATTTCATTAAAAAGGAAATTTAGACCTTATGATTAACAACATATCATTAAAATGTTAAGTAACTAGCTACCCTAAGTAGAATTTTATTTTATTCCCTTTTTGCATTGTGGGAAAGCTGTTCCCTACTTTTTTCCTCAATTTTTCAGTTTATTTCTCTGTTTTCTTTAAAAAAAAACCTCTATTTTTCTTGTTATTCAAGGCACAGATTAGTTCACATCTTAACTACTGGCAATTACTTATAAGAGTTTTCTTTTCAGCTATTCTGGTGTTGTAATGTACCATTTTAAAGGATCAAAAGAAATCACTTAGGAACCAATTCAAATATAATAGAGAAAATTAGTCCAATTGTTAATCTATGTCTACATCATTTATTTTTGTCTCCTTTTTTCACTAGTTAAATCACCTACATAAGATGCATTTTTTTGGCTCTTATTTTTACCAAATACTGTGAAAATCACACACAGATCCATAGATCACTTACCCATTTGGGAGAAGGTTGGATTAGAATCCTTTGGCCTGAAATATTTGCTCTCCAGAGGCAAGGAATTCTCCATGCCGTTGCAAAGCATTACTACCCAAGTAGGCATTGTCAAGTTCTTTTTTCTACAAGGGAAAAAAAAATTCAGGAGAGAAAAGTATGAGAAATGAATTTATTTTTTCTTTTTTTCCCCCTGCTGAAGAAATATTCATAATATAGGGCAAATATCAGCCTGTGGGTATGGGGAGCAGGAAATTCCTGTTGACATGAGCTCTTTATAATGTGAGATGCTCTGAAAATGCCCCAAGCTTTGCAGATACTGTAAAACAACAATTCAGAGGCACAATAACAAAACAATCCCCATCAAAGTATCTGTGGGTCATTTGCAGTGCAGAACATCAGAAGGCGATCTTTGGTGATGCTCAGTTTTAATTACTGAAATGTATTGCATGTTTTTATTTGATATCGTAAATATTTCTAGTTTCTTCTTTGGGTAAAAATGGCTTCTTATGTTGTGCTAAGAATAAAGAAAAAAAGAGAATAGTTTGGCACAGTGGTGAAAATCATTTTTTTTTACTACTAGTACTGTGGACATAGCTTGGTGGGGGTGGCAGGGGAAGGATACTGTAAAATCTTCATTTCCTCACCGCCCTGAGTCCTTCGGGAGAAGGGTGGTATAGAAATGTAATAAATAAATAAATTAAATAAATAAATTTCCACCCCACTCCAGGGGAAGGATATTGCAAAATCCCCATTCCCTTCCCATTCCTGGGGAAAGGATATTGTAAAATCTCCATTCCCACCCCACTCTGGGACCAGCCAGAGGTGGTATTTGCGGGTTCTCCAAACTACTCAAAATTTCTGCTACCGGTTCTCCAGAACTTGTCAGAACCTGCTGGATTTCACCCCTGGTTTGGCACAGGATGAAATTGGCTTTAAAGAAAAGATAATGGCTATAGATAAAAACCTATGTTGGACTGTGCACCTTTCTCTATCCTAAAAGGTTTGGTCACCTAATGGTTTCTGAATATTTGGCTGTCTGGCAAGCTTGTAAAAAACAAATGGAATTAAAACAGTTCCCTTTAAGTATAAAGAATATAATCTCCTCAGACTGAAAGAATAAATTGAGCCAGATTCAGATTTCTTCTTTGTGTCACTGATTCATGCTAAATTAGTTGATGTAGTACCATTTCCCTGCCACAGGTAGTGCTGTCGGAATGCCAAGATTCAAAAGCAAGAGCTGTCTCTTTAATCTGCAGCTGCCATTAAATTGCTCAGAGTAAAGTACCGTGTATCATAGTCACCAGTTTGATAATCCTCTGCATCGTACTACTGCAATTAAAGAAGTCTTCCACCAGTTTTTATTTATAGAAACCCCACATTTTAATGCTTGTGCACTTTTCGGTTTGCATAACTAATCATGGAGCTTGCTTGGCAGAGAGATAATGGTGAGGGGGAGGACCCTTTTGTCTTAGATCACATGATTTGCATGAGGATGTTCCCAGATTTGATCCCCAACCTCTCTAAATAGGTAGAGAAAAGATAGTTGTACAGTCTAAAGAGCCACCTGGAAAAGACAAACAATTATGGTAAGTTATTTGTATGGTGAAGATTTATTTAGCCACAAACAAATCTGTAGCCATTTGAGGTTAAGACTAATAATGTCTAGTTAACTATATGGGTTAATGGCATATAATATTCATGTAATACTAACTCCCAGCCCTGCCTAATTCTTTGTAGCCTATCATGTGAAGCAGGCCACTGATTTGCAGGAAGAAAGTCTTCCCTGTTTTTAAAGGAGTTGCAATCTAGTAGTAACTATCGGTGTGTATACAGGCAACTAACAGGTGTAACAGGAAAATTTAAAGAGATTGTTGAAAAATGCTGAAATAATGTAGTTTTATCATATTTTATTTATCTATATGTTAAATTATTGTATTTTATTCCAATTTCATTTTAAATCATATTTTATTCCAATTGCATTTTAAATTGTATTTTATCCAATTCCATTTTAAATTGTTTTTATCAGATTTTAATAATGTGTCTGGCACTCTGCACTTTGATATGGCCCAAGGGCCAATCAATAAAGTAAACTAAACTAAGCTGAAACAATGTTAACTGTGTCTGATGGAATTTCCCATCTCTACCTTTAGGTGCCTATCAATTCAAAATAGGAGAATCTGCACCCCTTAATTCACCAATTGGACGGATAAAGGCTAATGATGCGGATGTGGGTCCGAATGCCGAGATGGAATATAACATTCTTGAAGGGGATGGCTCGGAAATGTTTGGGATTACAACAGACAAGGAAACACAAGAAGGCATTGTAATTGTAAAAAAGGTGTGTATTCTAAGATGCTTCATTCCAGCTTTTATTGTGACCTGCAAAATGAAGTTTTTAAGAAGTTCTTAAACAAAAGATCTATTGGATTCAGAAACCTAATGAATAATATAGGATTCCTACAGTTGTATGTATGGTCTAATGCAAGATATGTAGTGGGGGGGGTAATACTTTTTAAGTTTTATAGTGCAGTCCTTGTGCATGTTTTGAATACCTTGGCATGGTCTCTGAAAATATTTTCAGCTAAGCCTGATAGAACGATTGTGGGTTGTTTCAAAATTCTACACTTCAGAGGTATGCAAGGAATATTTTTGCATTCAGTTATTACATTAATTCTCAACATTTCTGCCCCTTCGCATTTGTTTTGAACACAAAGTATTGTTTAAATAATTCCCAATACATTCTAAATTCATGGGAATGTTGTAGAAAAAGCCAGGTTCTCAGGGAATAGATACAAGTGGAAAACATTTCAAACTTGATAAAACTAAACATACATAGACCAAATATAAATGTGCACACACAAACACACACACACACACACACACATATGCAATCTGCACACAAATAAAATTGAAGAGGCAAAATAAAGTGTATTAAAGATAAAAGGGATTTAGCGACTATGGCAGTAAGAGGACTGTATGTCTTATCCAGAAAGATATTCTCATTTTTAATGTGTCTTCTGGGTAAAATCCTTAATATATAAAAGATCTTTGGTGACAGTTCTAATTCCACAAGGATAAAGTCATCCATTAAACAGAATCTTGTTGAATCAATCAATTAACAATTCAGAGTGCAGCACATTAAAAATAAGTGAACATAAAATACCCTCCTGTATTTAAACAGTTGATGTGTGCAAATACAGAGCTTTATCTGTTCCATAATTTAAAAGTTATTTAAGGGTAAAGAAGAACAAGGCTTACCAGCTGCAGCTCTCTTATTTTGTAAATTTAGCTCTATTAATCTCTACATAAAAGAGAGCAAAATGTTCTTTAGGCTGTAATTACTCAAAACCTCAGGAGAGAAATACAGTATTTTTTTTTCCATATCCCAGATTCACACACTGATTTTTTTAAAAAAAGAGAGAAAAACTAAACCCTGAAAGCAATAAATAAATAATAACAAGGAGCAGTAGTAGAAAAATGAAAAATGAACTATCATTTCAAGCATTTCATTTAACGGATCATAGATTTGCTTCCAGTCTTACGCTGGCATTTCTCATAAGGGTGGTATACCTTAAAATTTTCACTATAAACTAATTAGATCCCTTCCAGTTATCCACTGAATCTGGAAATCCATATGAGAATGCCAAAGGTAAATTAAAGCTTGAGTTATAAAGCTGAAGAGCAGAATGCCACCAAGGGGAAAAAAAAGAACCTTGAGATGGATTGATGACAAAACCATAATTTGCATCTGAATACTCAAGTATTTTTTATGGGTGACTTGTTCTTATTTCGTTATCATTTAAAACTAATTACACCTTTTATGTCCTTTTGAACAATCACCAAGCCTTTGGCATTGTACACTATGATACAGAATAAAATTATAATATGGCCTTAGAGTTGACTAGAAAGACCACATTAGCATTATATTTATAATTTCAGCAAGCTTTCAATCCTAATTGAACATTACTGGCATCTGTCTTGGGCGAGCTGGTCTATTCTAATTGATTTAGCTTTTTATATATGTTTTAGTCTGTTGTGACTTGTCTAAAGTCTTTTGATTGAGGTGAGTTATAAAAATTGTATCATAAATAAACAATGTTATAAGAAAGTTAATAGATAATAAGCCATGTCCTGCCTGCTTTTTTTTTTTTTTTTAAGGATTCTGTAACTCCCTTCCTGCTAAAGGTGTGGCCATGGAATTTCACTGACATATTTTTCAGAGTATCTCTATTGTGGCAGCTGACTCCAAGGCCCAGGAGATACAACAAAATTAATTTGGCTAATATATTTCCACACTGCCCTATCATTTGTTGAATGTCCCCAGTGGAGACTCTTCAGAATCCATTCTAGCATTGAAATCCTCAGCCCTGTGGATTTCTAAACCTATCGTAAGACTTCCATTTGTGCTTCATCTGCAGTAACTGTTCTTGTGAAGGCTAAATATGAAATATGGTTGCTTGAATACCAGAGGTCCTGCCGGCCTGTGAATTATAGTTAATGATTTGAATCATATGCATATACATTTATAAGGTTCATAAATGAAAAAAAAAAGCATTTAATTACCCTGAAATGAAAGTAGAGCCAAATCCAAGTATATATCCAATTTTTTTAGACGGTACAAAATGTTGAAGGATCCAATCTGGGTCAGTTTTTTTGTTGTGATTGGATCCTGCAACATTATCCTTGGACATGTATATTTGTCTTCATTGTGTACAAAGAGTTGTTTACTTTAAAGTCCTTGCTGTCTTAAGTTGATGCCCCTGGTATTCAAGATGTGCCAAGAAGACACATGTGCCATTTATTTATTAGATTTGTAAACTATTGAATGTCGGGGCTGACACTAGCTTACAATAATGAAACAACAATAAGCTAATAAAATACAAAACCAAAACATAGTAAACATGTTATTTTGATAAAACCAAATGATAAAGCCATGTACCGTAGTCACACAGATACCCTCTCAAACCTGGATGTCATCCCTCAAATGCCCTGGGGAATAGTCTAGTCTTCACCTCTTTAACACCAAAGTTCAGAGATCAGTCTGACTTCTCCACCCGAATTGAATGTCCCCACCAAGAAACATTGTCTTGGACCCCCATCATATACCAAGGATATCTCCAAATGGGATCCTTATACTGAGACTTATACATACCAATTGGTGAAGTTATGTAGGGCTATAAAGAATTCCAACACTTTGAATAGATCCCAGAAACTGACTGAGGAAGTCAGTCAGTGGAAGCCAATCTAGCACTCTCCTAATGGTGATGGCAACATAAGTGATTGGTGCCAGCTGCTACTGCATACGGCACAAAGTAGGGCACCAAGGATATTTAATTCAATACATTTGTTTTGCCATGGAGATTGATAGCCTCAATTAAATAATTATTTCATCAGCCTTATCTTTCTTCTTTAACCTTAACTCTAACCCTAACCCTTCTTTAACAAAGATTAAAAATAGCTGGTTGCTGATGTTTACCTGAACGCATGAGGGTAAGAACTGAGTAATGGATGCTTATGTACATCCCATTCCCTCCGCCTATATTTTAATTCATATTATTGTACTTTCATTGTTGATTTTTATTGTTTCATTGCTTTTGTTATGTTTATATATTTTTTAATCATTTCTCTTTTCCGCTTTAACTGTTGTAAGCTGTTCAGAGTAGCCCCATGGCGAGCTGGGAGGCCAATAAATTTAACAAATAAATAATTCAAATTTCAAATTTCAAATCTTAATTGTCACTGCACAACATATGTACAATGAGATTGGTTGAGCTCCCTAGTGCACCCCCCCCGACACAATACAACTCACAGTGAAAACAGAAAATCCCTAGCCCAATAAATCATATTAACAAAACACCCAGTTTTGTTAATTGGAAATAAATATTTCCAATGTCTCCACATGCCTGGGCACTTCAGAGATCTAAGGCTAAAGATTAAAAAAAGGCTCAGGAGTGTTTTTGGCTGATAGAAAAAGGCTCTCAAGTGTTGTTGTCTGATAAGGAGAGATTCAGAGTCAGAGGGTGATTTGTCAGCGTGTATTTTTTTTACCAACCTTTTCCAAACCTTAGCACAAACACACAAGCATATTTAAAAGTAGCCTTTCAGCCTTGAAATAAGCAAGTTGAACAGGATAACAAACTGAACAAGCAGTGTTTAGGACTAATAATGATGTCCCCCTCATGATTACCACTAGAATTACTAAAAGAGTTTTTTTAAAAAAAAAAAAGTTCATGTACTGAATGCTTAACATAATTAAACTAGCTGGCAAAACACCACATCCCTGAGAAGACATAAGGTGTACATATTATTTTCTGAAAATAAGAGTTTTATATATTTGTTATCATATGCAGGAGGTTGTTGTCTAATTACAGCTAGTCACACACATATTTCCACTTCCAAAAGCAGTAGGAATTTGTTCAATTGTTGGAAGAAATGTCCATCTGGGTTCAGTTCCAAGTGGGGAAAAAGACACTGGATTCATGGAAGTTGCTTGGAAAGAAGATTTATTGATGAACAGGATCACATGGCTTGAGTTCCTGAGCAGAATCACATGGCCTGGATTCCTGAGCAGAAAAAAAGGGGGCGAGATGCTGAGAGTGCCTTGGTTTTATGCCCTCTGTTGGGCATTGTCTTTTAGCTTGTATTCTGATTAGTTGTCAGACTCCCATGGGGCCATGCAGGGGTAACTCTGTAGGCTGTGTTTTGAGTCCAAGTTTGGTTGAGCCTTGCTGGGTCGTGATGTAATGAAAGGACTTTGGGCAATTCCTTATATAGCTCTGCCTGAAGGAGGTTATGTAGGATAGACTGGCCCAGGCCTTAATGGCCCATTAACAAAGGTGGGGGGCTGAGTTTCTGCTTCTATTTAGGGGAAATATTCTGCCTAGTGGACAAGTAACGGGTGAGCTCCTGTTACTTGTCCCAGCTTATGCTAACCTAGCAGTTCGAAAGCACGTAAAAAATGCAAGTAGAAAAAATAGGGACCACCTTTGGTGGGAAGGTAACAGCATACCATGCGCCTTTGGCGTTTAGTCATGCTGGCCACCTGACCACGGAGACATCTTCAGACAGCGCTGGCTCTTCGGCTTTGAAACGGAGATGAGCACTGCCCCCTAGAGTCGGGAACGACTAGCACATATTTGTGAGAGGAACCTTTACCTTTACCTTATTCTGCCTTTTTAGTATATCTTAAAATATTTCATTTTTCTAGGAGAGGGATGGGTTTTAACTTCGAACACTTCAAATAACTTATGCATCTTTATTTACAAACTCACTGAACTCACTGCAGATATGTTATTTTCTCGCAGATGTTTCATTATCAAAATTAGGTAACGTCATTAGTGTACTGATGATGTTACCTAGTTTGGGTAATGAAATGTCTGCGAGAAAACAACCAAGCTCACAGAGCACCAATGACCTCTCATTTCAACCCTGAGCTACAAATATTCTCTTGTATCAGTTATTATCTGAACAGATAAAGTTCACTGATGAGAAACATAAAGACTTTTAATCATTAAAAAGTTTGCCTGTAACACATCAGTTTACCAAAATCTGCTGAAACTTATATGGCAACCTCCTTGGTTCCTGGTTTTCTACTTTGATTCTCTTCTACACTCCTAGTATAAAACTCGAAATAGTGCTTTTCACTGATGGTACTATAACGATTACCTACTACCAAGCATACAGGTCATCCACAAACCTAGTAGATGCCATTAAGGCTGATGCACAATAATCTTGTGGACAGCAAAAGCCATTAAGGCAAATTCCTTCAGCTTCTTCTAGAAACATTAATTCACCATCAGCACTTGTTAGTAAGCAATCACAAGATGGTTATCATTTTGCTTGCTGATAGCATTTCTGCTGCACCAATTTACTGAATATTACACTTGATTGCTTTTGACTGCACAGTGTACTATTTAAGGAAAAGAAAGGGCCATTCGAAACGAACGCTGTTTTCTCATTTGTGAGGGAAATGTTCTGTTATGGCAAGGAAGCTGATAGTCTTTTGCAAGCCTATATGGGAATGTTCCTTTCAGAAAAGATGGGAAAGTGTGAATTTGAACTCCTGCCAGTATGCACTCTTGATCTACTGTAAATTAAGTGTGTCAACATCATTCTGTTGACTTAAACAAAGCTGATGCCATTAACACCTTGCTAAAAGTGAAATGGTGTTTGTGCTTCCGATAAGAAGATGAACCTCTTACTATTTTGCATCATATCCCAGCAGATTCTGGATGCTGAAAATCTTTGCCACAGATAGGATTAAAGTTGTCATGAGTAATGGACCAGTTTTGTTGTTTCAAAATCTTAATACAGTAAGGATAGTTTCTCTATTCCAAATGGAGATGTTTTAACAAGTCAGAGATGAGGAACACCTTTATCTTAAATCAGAGTTTTCAGAGGGGGGGGGATTACAGAGGTACTGTAGGTGTTTGCATATACCTGCACAATTCATGAAATGCTGAATAGAATGGAAATAATCAGCTGTGCAGCATGGCCCATCAGGTGTTCAATTACACCTTTATACTGCTTGCTAGTGATTACAAAAGCAAGTCTGATTAGCCTTAGGCATCTCTTTATTTCCAAATTGAGCCTTTAGACTGCACATCCATCAATTTATAATGACAAAGAGATGATTGTTAGGGAATGGTCATTAAAGTCTTCTTTGATTATAATCAAAACAAACATTTATGTTTTCCAAGTTGTATTCAAGGGAGGTTCATTCCGAATTGGACTGTAAACCTTGAGATTAAATTATTCAGCCTAAACTCATTCATTGCAACTCAATGTTTCTCTAATTGACAGGTCTTTCTGGATGCTTTCTCAAAATTCTTCTTAATATATACGTATATATATTTCTCTTCTTAGGCTTTGGATTTTGAAAAGCGGAGACAGTTTACTCTAAAAGTGGAAGCCAGCAATCCACATGTGGATCCCAGATTCCTCTATCTGGGACCCTTCAAGGACATTACTACTGTCAGAATTCAAGTAGACGATGTGGATGAACCTCCAATCTTCAGCAGACCAGCTTATATATTAGAAGTAAAGGAAGATGTCCCGATAAATACCGTCATAGGAGCTGTAACAGCCCGAGATCCTGACAGTGCAAAGAACCCCATCAAGTAAGCATACAGACCAGAGATCTCTAACTGGCAAGGGTCAGTTGAGAAGGCAGTGGTATACAAACATGATGAGAAAATTGTATTGTAGTAAAGGGAGACCAGAAAGCATGTGCCAATGTACACAGGTGCTCTGGTAAAATGACTTAGTGTGGACATACAAAAAGTGAACTGGATTCCCCCTCCCCCTTTCAATATATGTGGGAACATAAAGTGAGACAAAACACTAAAGTCACACCAGTGGTGTTCAAATTTTTTTACTACTGGTTCTGTGGGTGTGGCTTGGTGGGTGTGGCATGGTTTGGTGGGCATGGCTTGGTGGCTGTGGCAGGGGAAGGTTACTGTAAAATCTCCATTCCCACCCCACTCCAAGGGAAGGTTACTGCAAAATCCCCATTTCCTCCCGATCGGCTAGGACTCAGGAGGCAGAGAATAGATGGGGGAGGGGCCAGTCAGAATTTTTACTACCGGTTCTCTGAACTACTCACAATTTCCACTACCGGTTCTCCAGAACTGGTCAGAACTTGCTGAAACCCACCTCTGAGTCACACTCTATGGCCGTGATGGCGAACCTATGGCATGCATGCCAGCTGTGGGCAGCAAGCCCTTCCTGTGGGCACGTGAGCTGTCACCCAGCTCAGCTCCACTATGCATGCACATGCGCCTCCTGCCGGCCAGCTGATTTTTGGGATGTGCAGGGGGGGTCAGGGTGTGGGAGCATGCACGCCTGCACAGATGGGGAGCATTGCATTATGGGTGCTGTCATGCACACATGCTGTCATGCACATGTGCACACGCTTTCAGCACGCAAAGAGAAAAAGATTAGCCATCACTGCTCTACGGTATTGTAAATGTGCTGTAAAAGTGGAAGTTCTTTCCAACCTTCCCTCTTTCCTTCCTTCCTTCCTTCCTTCCTTCCTTTCCTTCCTTCCTTCCTTCCTTCCTTCCTTCCTTCCTTCCTTCCTTCTTGTCTGTGACTTGCCATCTTGGGAAGCAAATAAGAAATTAAATTATAATTAAATTATAGGTAGTCCTCGACTTATGACCACAATTGAGCCCCAAATTTTGGTTGCTAAGTGAGACATGTTAAGCCCCATTCTTTCCTGGCAGAAATGTTAGGCGAATCACTGCAGTTGTTAAGTTAGTAACACAGTTGTTAAGTGAATCTGGCTTCCCCATGGACTTTGCTTGTCATTGCATAATGAAAGAAACTCTTGTTGCTGTGGGAAACAATTGGAATTTTAAAAAATGAAAAGAGAGATGTCACGGAGGTCATTAAAAAGAGAAGGATGACTTAAGGACTTAAGGTATAAATTCTAAAAAGTATAATATATAAAATGTAAAATTTATAAGAACTATATGATATTGATTTGTGAGTAGATATTATTATAATTTAAATAAGGATATAACATAGGATAGTGATGTAGATAAATAGAATTTTTGTAAATATGATTGTTGTGAAAGATATTGATACCGATATGGAAAACCTGTTATAAGAGTAAATACGTGTTTTGTGTTTTAAAGGTTGGAAAGTTCAATAAATAGTATTTTTTTTAAAAAAATAAATAAAAAGAGAAGGATGAAAATGGAGAGAGATGTATAAAAATAGACTCAGACAAAATAAACAAAGTTAGGGACAAAGAAAGAAAAAAATATGCTAGAAGAAAGATGAAGGAAACGGGTTGTGTTTCCGTGCAAGCTGCATGCCTGCAATAAAATGTGATCTGAAAGGACCTTTTTGTACAACGTTATTTTGTATCTTCCGAGATCTATAACGGCTGCTCTGTGCTAACAATACTTCCATCTTCCCCCACCAGTGCATACCCTATTTCAAGTGTAAATGCTAGCTCTAACTTTTCCTCTCAGCTTGAGGGAGGACGCAATTAGACCATTATATGTAGTACTTGTCACTTATTTGTCAGTTTCCTTTGACAGTTAGGAATAAAACCTTCAGACACCGAGTGTTACATTGAAAACCCTCAATTTTTCCCTTCTTAACTATAGCTTTAAAAAGAAAAATCTAATCATGGAGCACTGTCAGTTTGAAAGTCCTTTGATCTCCCATTAAAGAATGTTTCATAATGGCATTATGAAAATGCTTAGTGAGAAGGGGGGGGGGGAAATGCCACTCACATACACGTCTTGTCGACCCAGAAATCTATTCAACTTGCAAGTCGCATTAAACATGAGGGTGCTGTATTTAAAAAAGCAATTAAGAGAAGATCTCCAAGGAACCAGATTTGTAAAAACCTGCTTTTGGCAGGAACAGATTTGAGTAACATGTACGTTAGTCAATAGAATAGCATTTTAGTTGCCATCTCCCCCATCTACTTGGTCGCTGAATGTTTTTTTCAGGCATAAATAGCATGATGTACTATTAGAAATGACAGTTTCTAGTCATAGGTGCAATGAGCTCCTCGTCCTTTGGCTCAAGGAGCATCGCTATGAAGGAAAAACACTGAATGACAATATTTTACTTCGTTTATCAAGGCGCTCATAGAATGCAGCATTCTGAGCTTGAATAAACTGGCCAATACAACTATATGTAATGGACATACAGATAAGCTTTGCTTACTGACTGCCTCATTTAGTGACTGTTCAGAGTTATAACAGTGTTAGAAAAAAAAATAGCTGCGTGGCCCAACCCTTGCATCTACGATGGTTGTGGCATCCCAGTCATAACCAGCTGGCAACAAGCAGAATTAAGGGACATCATGGAAGCACAGGAAGTCCTTGACTTGCGGCTACAAGGGAGCCCAGAATTTATGTTGCTAAGTGAGATAGTGATTAAGTGAGTCTTGCCCCCTTTTACGACTTTTCTTGCCACATGTGTTAAGCGAATTGCAATAGTTGTTAAATTAGTAACACAGTTGTGAAGTGAATCTGGCTTCCCCATTGACTTTGCTCATCAGAAGGTCGCAAAAAAGGTTCACACAATCCCGGGACACTGAAATGGTCATAAATATGAACCAGTTGTCAAGCTTCCAAAAGTAAATCATGTGACCATGGGGATGCTCAACGGACATAAGTGTGAAAAATTGTCATAAGGCACTTTTTTCCATGCTGTTGTAACCTTGAGCGGTCACTAAATGAATTGTTGTTTGTCAAGGATTACCTGTAAAAGTATATGTCACGATTTCCTGATGTTCCCTTAAGGGCTGAATGAGGGGTGATGATATAAGTCTATCATTGTAGTGTGATTTTCCACTTAGCGACCATAGTGCTTAGTGACACAGTTGCCGATTTCATTTGTGGTTGCTAAGCATGGACTTACTACAATACATGTAATATAATATAGATTGCTGGAACAAAGGTATGATTCAGACTTCAATCCACTTGTCTACTTTTTCTATCTGCTTGCTAGCTACAGTTGAGATCAGTGGTGAAATCCAAATTTTTTTACTACCGGTTCTGTGGGTGTGGCTTGGTGGGCGTGGTGTGGCTTGATGGGTGTGGCAAGGGAAGGATACTGCAAAATCTCCATTCTCACCCCACTCTGGGATCAGCCAGAGGTGGTTAGCTGGTTCTCCGAACTTCGCAAAATGTCCACTGCTGGTTCTCCGAACTGCTCAAAATTTCCGCTACCGGTTCTCCAGAACCTGTCAGAACTTGCTAGATTTCACCCCTGGCTGAGATGCTGCTTGATTCAGTAAGACTCAAACTTACTTAAAAAGGAGGGAAAAAACATTTTAAGAACATTTACTTCGTAAAGTATAAGTGAACCAAAACAATGACACTTTCATTACTAGTCTATTCACAATGACTCTGTTTTGCCCCCACTCCCTACAAAAAAAAAATGAATAGGGTGGCAGTCAATCTCATCACAGGAAAAATGTTGCTCCACATATTTGTGGCCAAAATCAAAGCCAACATTAAACTCTGAATGAGATGTGAACTTTGTCATAGTCATTTACAATGGAATCTATGCCTGAAAGGAAATCTCAATCAGAATAAAAACATGAAGATAAGAACCAGCTCAAGTGAAATTTAGTCCTTCAGATGTGATCAAAAATGTCTCTCCAACATCGTGGGGAAAAAAATGTAATTGAAACACTGAAACAAGGATAAGAAGATGATAATCAGCATATAAATTAATGGCTGTTCCTGAAATTTACTGACCAGATGCTGTCTCAACATTCCCCAATCATTTGTCTTGTCTGTGCACTCCAAGTACAGCAAAGCTTTGAGCCATTGCAAATTATATCTTCCAATTTAACTATTTCCCAGGATTTAAAAAGAATAAAATTCTGCAGTCTGACAGACACACATAGTAATTTATAAAATGTACAAACAAGTTTGATGTTGTCAGCTTAATTCTTAATAGGCTATGATCTTTTCAGTCATAGTCACCAGCAGCTCAACCAAATTAGCAGTCTTTGACCAAAAGAGACCTAGGATTCTTTAAACAGGATGAAATTAGTGACAGGATAGCGGATCAAATGTATCCTCTAGATCAGGGGTCCCCAACCAGTACTGAACCAGTACTCGGCCATGAAACCACACCCCTTCCAGTCCATGGAAAAATCTCTCTCCATGGAACTGGTCCCTGGTGCCCAAATGTTTTGGGGCCGCTGCTCCAGATCAAGATCTACAATACAATTGGAATATATATTTAATTGTTGCAAATCTGCTTTTCTTCTTTTTCCATCTCTTAATGTAAAAAAAAAACAAAACCAAAATCAATATTTTCTCAAACCTATAGTTTTTTTCTATAGTAATTCTAAATCTTTAAATTCTGTGCCCCGTGGTGGTTTATTTTAATCATCATCATTAATGTAAAAGAAAAAGGAGCATAGGGAGGAAATAAGACAGCACCTTTCTTATTATTGATTAGTTCCTAGGCAAGATGAAAGATAAGTTTTTTGCTTTTTTTTCCCCCTGCCTAACTTTACTAAGAGATCGATCCTATGTTCCTATTGCTTCTTCGGGGTCACCATTAAGAGCTTATCCACTTGTTATGTTAATCATTTGATTAGGAATTACTTCCCAATTTTTTTTTCCAA